GAAATACCTTCTGAGGCAAGTATGCGTCGTTCTCTTTTCTTTTTTTATGCCGTCCATCTACAATAAGCCCTATTCATTGATACCCATACCAACAATACCGCATACTTAAATAGACAAAACGTGTCTAGAAGTAGGGAATGATTATAAACGTGAAAGAATGAAGGCAAAAAAAAAGAAAAGAGAACGACGCATACTTGCCTCAGAAGGTATTTCTTCTGACATAACATTATTAAAATAATTACGTAATTAAAAAAAACACAGGAAGAAAAAGACATACAGAGTACAAGTTCACGTGTTTGACTTATAAAAGTTTTGTTTAGATACTTTGATGTGTGTCAAATACGATCATAGTAATGAAAAGACATAGTTTATACTGTAACAATAAAAGAATAATACGGCTTTTTTTATGAATCTTTTTTTAATTTGATTTTGTTTATAAGAATATAAAAACATCGATCAAACACATATTTTCACTTAGTTTAGTGGAAGTTTAAAATGATTCATTTCATCGGAAGTCTCGAGAACCAAGTTATGATCATTTTAGGTATTTACTGGAGGTTAAATAAGAGAATTTCGACCTGTAATTTTGCCCATAGGTAGATCTAATGACTCTTGGAATATCCTGTACGTTTCAGTTGAAAAATAATGTTCCTCTATTGCCGAGATATTGTATTTTCAAGTAAAGTGGATTTTTATAATGTCTGTGGTAAGCGACTATTCCTTGGGAATTCAATATCTTGACAAAAGAACATTCTTTACAGCTGAAACTTTCATTATATTCTATGAGTCATTAGATCTATCTGCGAACTGAATTTCAGATCGAAATTCCTTTATTTGATTTTTCAGTGAAACAATCATAACTCGACTACAGAACCTCATGAATACAAACCCTTTAAAAATTGTTCTAGTCTTACTGAGACTTTCGTATGGGTCCAACATGGGTTCAAATAGTGATTAAAATTGCAGTAATTTCTTCATGAATAGTCATTTTATTCATGATATTATATAGAAGTCCAATCTTTCCTATGGACGAAGTTATCTATCTTTAATATCTCGATCCACGTATCGGAAAGCCCATTTAGGACATTATGATAAATACTTTTCTTTATGTAATATTTTCTAACGTTGGTCATTGATACGATATATTAGTCTTATACACGTGTCTATAATATTACTCTAGATTAGTAGTTCAATTTAGTATTCTTGACACAAGTTCTCAGTCAAAATGAATGTTTCTTCAGATATTCAGTATTTCTAGAAGATTGCCATATTGTTATATTATCTTCCAAAAAAGATATTCATTTTGGCTAAAAACTTTTTTTTCAAATTATTGTATATTGTTACGAAGGTTTTCTTTACTCGTATAAAATATTGAATCAATTTTTACCTTCCAATGTCCATGAATTATCATTATTATGTGTATATGTGTCTGAAATTTCCATCAATTGTGTGAGAATTTTTTCTGAATCTGGCATTTGTAAGAGACGAAGTAAATGAAGAATTCTATAAGAAAAAGACAAATATTTCACTATATAATTACATAAACGACAGAAAAAAAAGAGATATTTACTGTTCTCGAATAATTATTTTGTGATGTTTTTCATCGAGTATATCAAACCAACGTGAAATATCCTCTTTTAAAAACATTCCACCATCAACCAATGGTAAAAATATATCTCGAAATTCAATCCAACTAATAAAACAATCTAAATATAAAATATTTCTCAATTAGAAAAACTGTTTTTTTTTTATTTTCGATAAAAAAGAAAAAACACTGAACCAGAATTTCGTTTTTTGTTTAAATATAATTCTATAAATGATTGAAGATCATCATTTGATATTTGTATATTATTATGTATGAATTCATTTGTAATCTTCATTGATAATGTTGTTTTATTACTATCAAGTTGTTTATTTTCACTATCAGGACCTAATCTTTTAAATATTCGACCAAGTACTAACGACGAAAAAAAAAACAAGCAACTCAAAAATAAAAAATAAATTAAAAACTTTTACAAATCATTCCATTATTGATCATATCTATAAAATCATCATTAGTTTTAGATGAAGAATTTAATGTAATCGATTGTGCATCATTACTTTCTTCATCGGTTAAACGATGAATATACCAATGCTTATATTCAATGTCGTCTGAAAGAATATTATTCTTTACATCATCAACTTGTTTAATAGATTCTATTAATTCTAGAAATGTAAAATAAGAATTTTTTTGTTTATTTATACAAATATATATAGTATATATTCTTACCTTCAACAGTTAATTTATCATCTTTATTTTTATCCAATTTATTAATTATATTATGTGCAAGTTCAGTTGTATTATTAACTTGAAGAAGTTCAAGTAATTCTAAACATAAAATTTTATTATTTTTTTCAAAGAAAAATAAAAAAGTTTTACCAATTATTTCTTCTAATGATAAATAACCATTTTTATTTATATCAAATACATTGAATAATTTTTGTATATGTCGTTCCATATAACGACCACTTAGAATAGGAAAAAGTATATCACGAAATTCAGTCCAATCAAGTGTTTTTGAACGAACTTATAATTATTAAAAACAAAAAGATAAATTTAGAAAATAACAAAGAAAAAAAAAACAATGTATTTTACTTTCTGCTTTAGCTGGTTGTACAATAAGTTTTCTAAGAAGACCATCGAATAATGTTCGTATGAAAGTATCACCAAATTCAAGACGATCAATTAAATCATCTGGAAAATCATCATTGATTTCAACTAGATCTTCATTATTGGATAATTGACCATATACACAACGAAGATCTAATAAGAGCTTTAGTATATAAGATAATATAAAAAAAAAACTAGGGATTCAAGACACACTTCTTTGTTTTAAAATGAAATAGAGATACTAACTGTGACAGGTGTCTTTTTTTTTTGTCGTCGAGATCAAAACATGATATTTTGTGACCTATACTAAGCTGATATTTAACATGTATCGTATCACATTACAAACATTTGTTTTCTGATTATCGACATACTTGTAATCATCAACTGTTACTACACTTATCTAAAGATAATTTGGCCTAATTAAATAGTGAGAAGACAAGATTTCGTGAATCAATCCAAATACAATCAACTTGTTTTGAAATAGTCATCGACAATTATCAAGTATTCACAGTAGAAGATATTCGAATATGAATATTTACAATTTTGTTTCGTCAAGCATATTTTCAATTCATAAAAAACAAAGAGAATACTTTGATGATTATGTTTGTTATTTTATGATTTGTTAGTAATTTTTAAAAATTAGAAATAATATTTTTTTTTATTTAAGAGGAACACTTTCTATGCGTCTGTGACTACCGAAAAAAAAAACTTTCTCAAATTTCAGGTATTTTATAAAGAGCTTATTTGATATATATGACATTTGATAATCAACTGATTTGTGTGGTTAAGTATTAAATCAATATTTAGAAATCTTTTCGAAGGTTGAAAATGTCAAACTTCTTTATGACTTTGTCAAGAAGGTCAACAGATTTTTGGTATTAGTTTTCATTAACTGGTGTTAAATATTGCTTAGAAAATCATGAAATTAAGGTGAATTATATGCCGAACATGAATAATTTTGCTAAGACTATTGAAAAGTGAAATATATTTCAAAATCACTTTTTCGAGAAGCATCATATAATCAAAATTAGAGTCAGTAGTCGAAACTATTATTGTACTAAGCTTGCTTCCACTAAAGGTAGAGAACTGTAAGTTCATGTTTGATGGATTCGGACCTGTTAAAGGTTAAAATTTTGAGCTCGAACTGGAGTCTTTCCAGATCCAGAACTTCGATAAGAGTTGAGATGTCGAAAACGGATACTTGATAGGATATAGTTTTCGAATTTTCGAAATCGCATGGCTGTGGATGGATTCAAAATTAGAACAAAATAAACAAAAAAAAAATAATTATTTCAAATTTTCGATCAGTCGTTCGACCAATTCTATTTTTTTTAAAGTAAATGTTGAACAAACCTTGCATAACAGCTTCTAAATTTGATTCATTAATATTTTGAAACTTTTTTTCTTCTAATTTTGGAGTAGAAGATGATTCAGTTTCTGAAATAAAAATAAAAATGTTCTATGAAAGAATGATTTTTTTATTTTAATACTAAACTTACCTTTAATTAAATCAGTATTATTACCTTCAACATCAACTAATGATATTTTATATAATGATTGTTTACTTAGTTCATCATCATTTAAATAAGTAGAATCATTTAAACTACCATAATAACCAGGTGAGGAGATAAAATCACTTTGGCTTTTCTCCTCAATTTTATATTGATCAGAAAAACAAATTTGTTCTTCTGCTTTTATTTCGTCTTGTTTTAATATTAATTCTTTGTCTTCAAATGGATTTATATTTTGTTGTATTTCTTCTTGTGATAGACCAGGTGTATTAAATGATAAGGATTCTTGTCTTTCAGTTTGATTAATATTATATTCGTCAATAGGTAATGATTCAATAGATTCATTCAATTGATGGTCGACATTGTGATCAATGTCGGTAGTTGCTACATTGTCTATTTCATCTATTGATGATTTTGTATTTTCATCATGTTTAACATTATTATCATCGTCATTTGATGGTTCAGTTAATTCTTGTTTCTCATCAACTTCTGCTAGAAGAAAATTAACGCTATCCGAATACAAAGAAACCTATCGGGTTAAGTAATCTGTTCAGAATAGAGAAAGCAACTATACTATGTTGTAGAGTAAGTCGAGATGTATCGAACGGTATATACGAACTCTTAGTTTCATAGGACTTTGAAGGCATTAGAGTCAATTTATTGATAGACCACTATGCACCCAAAGCCTAATCTTTGTGATCCTCGGTATTTGTCGAAAGTGTTTCTAATGATATTTATGTACAGTTTTGTAGAGTTTCTCAGGGATACAAGTTCATAGACTTAACATCTACGATCATTCTAATTTTGATGGCAAAAAACAATCTGATTTTTCATTGATGATGAGTTTATGTTTTTCTGAGTGTCGACCATAGAAGAAGCTGCCAGACGTGAAACCTTTTATTGGCTTGCATTTGAAATATTTGAATCAATTTTTACATGAATTTTCTTCTTGGAATACTGTATTTCGAGATTCTGACTTTTAAAAGTCGATTCTGGTACGAAATAAACATGACATTCGACATCAACGTAACAAAATATATTGAATAGCTTATATTTTAATGAAATATTTTTTTTCGCTAAAACTCGATTGGAACTCCTCCTCATTCATGCTTTTCTAAATTTCACTCTATAGTTTTCACGGGTCGGATTTTAGCGGAAAAACTATTCAATGAAGTTTGTTATGTTCATCCTTAATATTATGTTTATTTTGCACTAGAATCAACTTTTGATAATCAAAATACAGTATTAGAAGAAGAAAATTCATGTAAAAATTGTTTTTAAATTTTCACTGTTAGACGATATTGGATAGTATGCAGAAATTTTGGAAAAATTTCCAAATAGTGTATTTTTTAGTGCTACATAATGGATAATTTCGAATTTTTAAATAAGATAGAAATGAAGTCAATTGAAAGAGTAAACACGAATTTACCTGTAGAATTTGCTGCCTTATTGTATGATACTGATGTTATTGATTCGTATTCATTAGCAACTACAGGCGTAGGTTGTTCTTGAACTTGTTCATCTGTTATAGAAGATTGTTCAATTTTTGATGATATTGATTGTTCTTGTGAAAATTCAGAAGTTTGCTGTTGACTATCTAACGACATGGATGGATTCTCTTGAGATGATGGACTAATTGGTTCACTGAGTATTGACTGTTCATTAAATGACGTACTTGATGATTGTTGGACATTTGATGTTATTGGTTGGTTCTCCGAAGGTGTAAAAGATGATTGAAGAATGTCGGATGAAATTGATGGATCATTTGGTGAACCAGTATTAGTAGGTGATGTTGGTGATTTTTTAGTTTCTGACAATACTTGTTTATCTATATATGAGATTTTTGCTAATGCTCGAACTTCTTGTAGAATTGTACTGAGTGATGGATAATCTTCTGAAGATTGTTCTTCATTTTCGAGTTGTGTTGACGACGATGGATAAATTTCTGACGAGTTTTGTTGATCATCAGAAACAGCTGATACACTGGGAGATTTTTCTATTTCAGATGATGCTTCTATATCTGTCGAAATAGAAGCTGATGATAGTTCCGAAAGATTTGACGGCTGTTGATAATCTTTTGTATTTGCAAAAGAAGGCCGATAAATTTCTGTTAAGATTGGTAGTGCATTGGCAATCGGTGCTTTGTCGTCTGCTGATGCAGTGATTAGATATAGTTGAACACCTGGAGCTGTAGTTGGTGATTGAATAGGATCAGAAAATGTTGATTCATCTTCTGGAATTGTAAATGAATGAGGAAATTTTGGAGTTTCTGATGATACTTCACGATTTGTTGGAGATAGTTGCTCACCGAAAGATAATGTTTGATCTGCTGAAGTTGCTGAAATAGGAGATTTTAAAGTTTCCATTGATGTTTGATGCATTTCTTGTGAGATATTATCTGTAGATTCGATTATTTCTTCTTGATTTTTATTTGATTCTTGTGATAAACTTTCTTGTTGATCTGATTGAAGTTTATTTTCGATTTTTTCATCATCCAAATGTTTTATTGTTGATAGAATTTCATCAGTGTGAGCAATAGACTTTTCGAGAATTAGTTCAAATTCATTTCGATTTGTTAAAACCTTGAAAAATAAAATTTTATAAGTTATCAATGATTAAAAAATTAAGAAAACATTAGATCTAATCTTCAAAGTTAGCGAAAGAATCGAAGAACTTCTTCCGATATATATCGATGTCTAGAGAACATTTTTCGATACTTTACTACAGAAACTTAATTGTAGCAATCGATATAACTCTTTGTTGTTATGTACGGTAACGAGCATTTCTAAAGAACATTCAAACAAGTTAAAAGTTTGGATTTAGCGATTGCAGATGATTATAAAGACTTTTAGACGACATATAAATAACTTCTGAAAGATTTCAGCTGTAGCATGATTTTATAGTGAATAGAATTTGCGATGAACTCAACCATTTTGGTTATTAGACTGTTAGAAAAGAGGAAAATAAGTGTGATATTTGCAATCAACATGAGAAACTACATTTAAATCACACACGTTAAATGAAAAAAATTTTACTTATCGGAAATTCATTCGTACTACCCTCAGGTTTCTTCTATGGGAAAATATTTCTTTGCAGTCCACCGTGTGCGAATTTCCGGTGGAAAAAATATTTCCTTGAAACATATATAATTCAAAGTATATTTTCATGCTGATTTTGAATATGACATTCATTTTATTCTTTTATAATAGCTTAATAATCAAAATGGTTGACTCCGGAATAAATTTTCAGAGAACATGTCATCTGAGATCGAAAATTTCCATTTTTTCATCAATAATACGAAATTTTAAAACTCGCTCTTGAATGAAGTAAGATACTTTTTTATGCAAAAAAAAACTAGATAATCCTCTAAAGTTGTATACTAACATATCCTAGTAGAATTTCTCGTCATAGTCATATAGTGGACAAACTTTCAGCTTCAAAATCAAATACTGTCCTAATATATAGTTTTCTATAGAAAAATAAATTTAATTTTTCTCGAACAAGTGTTTTTTTTTCAAATTTTCTCATTTATAACATCATCTAAAAGATTAAAAAACATATAGCCATGACTAGAATATTAAACTCTACTCAATGGTGTATAAAAACAAGTTTTGAAATTATTGGCATATTCTTACTGGAGAATTTTTATTATTTCGTATTATTGTTGTTCGTAAACTAGTTGGTCGTACAGGATATTGATTATTCATTAATTGTTGTTGTTGTTGTTGTTTTCGTCGATATTCACCTTCTAAAACTCCTCGATAAAGTGTTAATTCAAATTTTAAATTTCGATCATATTCAGCTAAATGATTTAATTTTTCATTTAAACTTTGTAATTCAATTTGACTTCGTTCTAATTCATTATCTTTAATTATTAATTCTCGCATACGTTCATCATGTATTGAATGTAAATCAGCTTCCTATTTAAATATTTCAATATAAAAAAAAAAAAGAAGAAAGGCTAAGCAATATTTATCAAACTTACCATAGCAAGAATTTGTTCAGATAAAACTTGATTATAATCATTAAGTTTTGTTAATTCTTGTGTAATAGATCGATTTTCATCTTGAAGTTTTTCACATTCTATTTGTACTGAATATTGTTGATTGACCATTGCTTCATTCATAGTTGCATTAGTTAAAGTAGTTTCTTCTATAACTCTCATCATTTGTTTATATTCATTTTCCATTTGTTTAAGTTGAGTTTTATTAAGTTCACTAAAATCCTCACGTATACGTAATATAAATTCATTTAAACATGATAATAAATATTCATTTGCTTCTGTTTGTGTAGATAATATTGTTTGATGTTCTTCATCAAGAAATTCTTTTGCTGTATGCATTAATTTAAGTTCTTCCCGTAAAGTTTGAATTTCAAACTAAACAAAAAAAAAATATAAATCATAGAATAAAATTTAACATTTTCATTTTTTACTTCAGCTTTTGATCGTTGAATAGAAATTTTTTCAAGTTGAATTTGTAAATCATCAACTTTATCCATTGCTTGTTGATGTGTTTGTTTTTCAATTTCAACATAACTATATAAATTTTGTAATTGTTCATTTAAACTTTTTAATTCTTTTTCAACTGAACATTGTTGTCTTTGTAAATTATTTAAACGTTTAACCTGTTCTTTTTCATTACTAGCAACAAAATTAATTCGTTTCTTAAGTTCTTCACGTTCATTAATAAAACGTTTAGCATGTGATTTAGATTTATAACGTTCAATATGAGCTTCTGTTAATGTATGACTTTCTTGTCGAAAATCTTCAGGTAAACGTTTTAAATGATTTTCCAATGTTTTAATATAATTTGTACGTAGTTGTTCAATATTATTTTGTAATTGATGATTTTCATCATCAATTTTTTTAATATCATTTAAATATGTTTGAAGATTTCCATTAAGATTACGGAATTCTTCTGTTTGTATATTATATTCAAGACGTGATTGTTTAGCTCGTGAAAAAACATCATCAAGTAAATGATCTCCGAAGAAATTCAACATGTCGATTAAATCTAAAAATAAACATGAATAAAATACGCGTATATTGAAATTTTTTCTTTACATTAAATCTGTTGATTTCTATGTTCATATAATAAAGAAGAAAAAAAAAGAAAAGGTAAATGTCTATGATGGGTTAATATTGCATTTCTTTTCTTCTTCTTCTATATTAACTAAAAAACAGGACATAGATAAGCATCCTGTAAAACGCTTTAGATAAATTCCAGTTCAATACACAATATTTTTTTTTTCTTGCGTAAAAAGATAATTTGTCATCTATTTCGATTTGTGATTATTCTTATTGCTTATATTTTAAGTATCGTTTTTCTATACTTGAAAAATCAAGTTTGATCGTTTAAATAAAAAAAGGAAATTTTGACTCTTAACTATATATACTTATTATAATATAAAATTGTTAAAGTTTTTCAATTATGACCGATCTAACTCACCAGAAAATTTTATATACCAAAGCCTTCTAACCTAAAGTGAGACACTAACCATACATTTTCGACATGCAATAGTTCACATAATCTATAAAAAAAAAAATCCTGCTTTAAAAAATTAATACGCACCTTGAACAGCAATTTTTCTTTTTAGCTAAAAGCGACTTACTTTTCTTTTTCTTTACCGAACACTTTTTCTTTTTTCTTACCGAATGAAAAGACGTTTTCTTCTCGTTTTCTTTCTTTTTTCTCGTTCAGTTTATTAGCCTGAAAAAAAAAACTGAAACCTACCACACAGCTAACAGCAACAAAAGCGGATTTTTAACTAAATGCACACGCATAAATCATATGCATTATATGGTCTATATGCCATTATATTAGCATAGTGTACGTAATTATGCACGATAATGATGCCAATCACTATATAACGAGGTACATTTCTGTCATAGTTTGAGCATAAGAAAGAAAATTGAAAAAGCAAATATTATGACAGTAAGCAATATGAAACATAACATATGTGAAATTTGATGTGATTGACATTAATATAAAAAAAGAAAGAAAAATAATAACGATTACTTGATTTTTCTATGATTGTTAGATAGAGTAAATGAATAAAATAATGTATTTTATATCTTTTTTATTTGCTTGTTTCACGTTAATTTATGGCTTCGATATTTTCTTTGCTTCTAATCTTTTTGTAAAAAATTCCTTTTACTCATGAAAAGAATATTTCATATACATTTATAATAAACATAGATTATTTAAATTAAATATTTGGTATATTTTCCTTTTAGATAGCAAAAAAACTCATTATATATATATCTGTTAATGACATGACTTTTTTTTTTAGTTCAAAAATGATGACTACATTGAAATATGTCTGTTTTAAGCTTATTTTCATCATGTAACTATGAAAGAAATGAAGATATGCTTGAGGAAAGACAAAATGACAAGTTAACTTATTAAAATCGTATTCATTTGTTGGCATCTATATCCATTAATATATTCATGTAACAAAAATTTTCTTTTATTCAATACTAATTATAGTCATTAGTTACTTTATTCAAATTACGAATGATTATATTCTTGTATCATAGAAAAGAAGAAACTGATAAGCATTTTATCCGCATAATTTTCTGATCCTATAAACCATTTTTACCTGTAAATGAATATAGAGAATACAAAAAAAAAAAGAAATGTCCGGTCATTATCACTATAAGTTTTTCACGCATTGACTAGTAATGTAGGTAGTTGCATGCATGATCACATGTAAGAATAATATGAACATGCAACGATTCGTGCTGAAATATTTGCTAATTCAATTGAATAATGATAGTATTTATATGGTTCATTTTTATAAAAGAAAATTTTATAATATTATTTTAGCAGGCAAACATAGTAATTATAGTTTTATTCAAATTCTAGACATGTCGATAAGTTGAAAAAAAAAAATAATGTAAAACTTTCTAAGAAAATTAATTTGGATTAATCGGAAAAATTATATGAATTTCTATAGAAAAATTCGATAAAAATTTTAATTATAGTTATTATTAGTTCAATTACTAATAATCAACAAATATAAATAATAAGTTCTCAAAAACATAATAATATTTCATACAAATGTCAACCGCAAATTATATAGACTATAATAAAAATGAACCTAAAATGTTTATCAGAAGATTTTTTATTAATGGATGAAAATTTCTCAAAACAATGTTGAACTTTAAATGATATTTGGTCAGATTTCTCGATGAATTTAACTTCAATTTTCAATTTTTTGAAAAAAAAACGAAGAACATCAATTAACGATGTTTGCTGCAACTGTATAAAATAAAAATAAATAATTGAGAAGTTCAAGATTTAAGGCCACCCCCCCCCCCTCAAAAAAATTCACTTTTGGTCAGAAGCATTGAAACTGAGATAAATACATAGGGAGATAGCCCGTGATCTGCTCTTTCAGAAATGACAAAAATTTTCTTTCAGTAGTTCCGTTTTTCCGAAAAATTTTCAAGATTTTCGTCATCCCCTATTCGAAAAAAAAACTTTTTTTAGAACACACCTCTCCCTTTCGGCTCACAGAATCAATTTCGTCATAATGGTCGAAATTGAAATAAATACATGGGAAGATAGTCCTTGATCTGCTCTTTCAGGAACGAAAAAAATTTTCTTCAGTACTTCAGTTTTTCCGAGAAATTTCCAAGATTTTCATCACCCTCTATGCGAAAAAATAAGCTGTTTTTAGAAAAAAACCAAAAAGATTTTCGATTTTTTTCTCAACTTCTACTTTCCAAAAAAAGGCATCCCAAAGGAACTCCGCCATAGTTCGACAATAGAGCGCCCATGCTGA